ATTGAATTAGTAATTTAAAAACTTGCAAGCAAAGAAAGCCCAGGACTAGATTGCTTCACTTGTGAATTCTACCAAGCACTTAAAGAATTAACACCAGTCCTTCTCAAACTCTTCAAAGAAATAGAAGAGAAGTAACTCTTCCTAACTCATTCTATGAGACCAATATTACCTTCATACCAAAACCAGACAAAGACATCACAAGAAATGAAAACTACAGACTAATATCTGTTTTGAATATAGATGCAAAAATCCTCAACAAAATACTAGCACACCAAATCCAGCAGCATATTAAAAAGATTGTACACCATGACCAAGTGAGATTTATTCCAGGAAGACAAGGGTAGTTTAACATGGAAATGAGTCAGTGTAAGACCACATTAAGTAGGACAAAGGACAAGAACCACACAATCACCTCTAATTATGCAGAAAAACTGTTCAACAAAATCCAACACCAGGTTATGATGGAAACACTAAAAACAAGGAATCGAAGAAAACTTTCTCAAACTGATAAAAGACATCTGTGAAAAACCCACAGCTAACTACATACTTAATGACAAAAGACTGAAAGCTTTGCCTCTAAGATCAAGAACAAGGCAAGAATGTCTGCTCTTGCCACTTCTATTTAACCTCATACTATAGGTCCTAGCAAGGGCAATTAGGCAAGAAGAAGGGAAAAAAAATGGCTTCCAAATTGGAAGAGAAGTAGTAAAACTATCTCTGTTCACAGGTGACATGATCTTATATGTAGAAAATCTTAAGGAATTCACGCACACAAAAACTATTAGAGCTAATAAAAGAGTTCAACAAAGTTGCAGGAGACAAGGTCAACATATAAAAATCAGTTGTATTTCTATATACTAGCAATGAACAATCTGAACAGGAAATTAAGAAAACAGTTCCATTTACAATAGCATCAAAAAATATTAAAGTGCTTAAGAATAAATTGAACCAAGGAGGTGCAAGAATTGTATGCTGAAAACTACAAAATATTGTTGAAAGAAGTTAAAGAATACCTAAATAAATGGAAAGACATCCAGCGTTCATGAATTGGAAGACTTAATATCGTAAGATGGCAGTGCTCCTCAAATTGATCTACAAATTCAATGCAATCCCTATCGAAATTTCAATTGCCATTTTTACAGAAATGGACAAGCTGATCCTAAAATTCATAGGGAATTGCAGGAGACCTCAAATAGCCAAAACAATTTTGGAAAAAGAACAAAGTTGGAGGACTCACTTCCTGATTTCAAAACTTACTGTGAAGCTATAGTAATTAAATCATAAGGATAGACATCTAGATAAATGGAATCAAATTGAGAGTCCAGAAGTAAACCCATACATCTATGGTCAATTGATTGTTGACAAGAGTGCCAAGACCACTCTTGGTCATCGAGTGGGGGAAATAATAATCTTTTCAACAAGTGATGCTGGGCAACTGGATAACCACATACAAAAGCATGACCCTTGCCTCACACCATACACAACAATTAATTCAAAATTAATCAAATGGGGCCGGCCCCGTGGCTTGGCAGTTAAATGTGCAAGCTCTGCTACTGGCAGCCCGGGTTTGGATCCCAGGCGAGCACCGATGCGCCGCTTCTCCGGCCATGCGAGGCTGCGTCCCACATACAGCAACTAGAAGGATGTGCAACTATGACGTGCAACTATCTACTGGGGTTTTGGGGAGAAAAAAAAAAGAGGAGGAGGATTGGCAGTGGATGTTAGCTCAGAGCCAGTCTTCCTTACCAAAAAAAAGAGGAGGATTAGCATGAATGATAGCTCAGGGCTAATCTTCCTCACAAAAAAAATAAATAAAATTAATCAAAGACCTAAATGTAAGAGCTAAAACTCTTATAAAAAAAAATAGGGGCCAATTTTCATGACTGGATTTGGCAGCAGTTTCTTAGATCTGACACCACAAGTCAAAAGAAAAATTAAATAAATTACACTTTATGAAAATTAAAAGCTTCTGTGTACCAGAGGATATGATCAAGAAAGTGAAAAGGCAGCCCACAGAATGAGAGAAAATATATGCAAGTAATATATTTAATAAGGGTCTAGTATCCGGAATATGTCAAGAACTCTTATAACTGGAGAACAAAAAGACAACCTAATTAAAAATGGGCAAAGGACTGGAATAGACATTTCTTCAAAGATGTACAAATGACCAATAAGCATATGAAAAAATGCTCAACATCATTCACTATTAGGGAAAAGAAAATGAAAACCACAATGAGATACCCCTTCACAAGATGGGAGTAACAACAATAACAAAAACCCTCCAGAAAATAGCAAATGTTTTTGGAAATGTGGAGAAATTGAAACCCTCATACACTCTGCAGATGGGAAAGTAAAATGATACAGCCACTGTGGAAAACAGTTCGGCAGTTCCTCGAAAACTTAAAATTAGAATTACCATATGACCCAGCAGTTCCACTCCTAGACATACTGAAGAGTGTTGAAAGCTGGTTTTCAAACAAAAATTTTTATACAAATGTTTATAGCAGTATTATAATAGCCAAAAATTGGAATTTCCTCAGATGTCCATCACCTGATGAATGGGTAAACAGAATTTGGTATATCTGTTACAATGAAATATTATTCAGTCATAAGAAGGAATGGAGTACTGCTACTTGATACATGATGAACCTGGTAAATATTTTAAAAGTCCTTGAATTATACACTTTAAAATGGTTAATTTGTTATGTGACTTTTGCCTCAATTTAAAGAAACAACATTCCCAATAGTAAGATTCATTGGGTATTCATAAAATTAATTTTTTGTATTAACATCTCCATTTAAAATACTTTTTAACAAATACAAGAAAGCTTTAAGGGAAAAGAACCTCTTTTTATCATATAGCTATACTGTAATTTAAAATTATGCTTATATTTTGATTCCACTGCATCAATTTATACCCATCTGATCTTTTAAAAGTATTTTTATTTTGGGGCTGGCCCTGTGGCGTAGTGGTTAAGTGTGTGCGCTCTGCTGTGGCAGCCCTCCAGGTTCGGATCCCGGGTGCGCACCCATGTACCGCTTGTCAAGCCATGCTGAGGCGGCGTCCGATGTAACATAGAGGAAGATGGATGCGGATGTTAGCCCAGGGCCAGTCTTCCTCAGCAAAAAGAGGAGGATTGGCAACAGATGTTAGCTCAGGGCTAATCTTCCTCACACACACACAAAAAAAGTATTTTTATTTTGTTATTTAAAAGCGTTTGAATTGGATTTTAGAGGGCACTTAGGGAGCCTAGTGTTTAAAGCAGCAGTATATCTAATGCGTCAGAGAAATCCAGTGTAATATAATGGAGAAATCTCTGTTCATTGGTGAAATTTTTATATACTTCAATTTAGGGTATTATTTGAAGGATACTGAAATGGTATGTTTTGCATTTTCTGTATCTAAAAGACCCTTTTTGTCCCCGGTTGTTTGATTGCTATCTTGCCATCAATCTTGTTTCATTTCTGGTCTTGTACTTTTACCAATAATTTCTCTCCTCTTGCTTAAACACTGTTCAGTAGAAATATAATGTAAACCATATATTTAACTTTAAATTTTCTGGTAGCCACATTTAAAAAGTAGAAAGAATTTAAAAAGTAGAAAGAAGGGGCCAGCCCGGTGGTGTAAGCGATTAAGTGCGTGCACTCCGCTGCGGCGGCCCGGTCGCCGGTTCAGATCCTGGGCACGCACTGATCAGGCTGCCAGTTCAGATCCCGGGCATGCACCGATGCACCACTTGGCAAGCCATGCTGTGGTGGCGTCCCATATAAAGTGGAGGAAGATGGGCACGGATGTTAGCCTAGAGCCAGTCTTCCTCTGCAAAAAAAGAGGAGGATTGGCAGATGTTAGCACAGGGCTGATCTTCCTCACACACACAAAAAAAGTAGAAAGAAATAGATTAAATTAATTTGAGTAATATGTTTTGTTTGGCTATATTCAAAATATTAAAATATTATTTTAACATATAATCAATATTTTAAAAAAACTATTAACCCATTGTTTTACGTTCTTCTAAGTCTTGAAAATCCGACGTGCATTTTACACTGACCACATACTGACCAGTGTGCATTTTACACGTCTCAATTCAGACTAGATGCATTTCAAGTGCTCAATAACTACACGTGGCCAATGACTACAGTACTGGACGATGCAGGCTTAGATAATCAGAACTAGGACATTGTCTCCAGGAAAGATGTACTTGTTATTTCTGGGAACAGAAAGGAAACTTTTTGCTTCTCTTTTTTGCCTGGAAACAAGTTCGTTTATCCTATTAGCCAGCTTTTGACTTAAAAGATACAAAGAGAAATCTCAGTGTTTTAGTGGGGTGAAGAAAAGGAAACTTGGAGTAAGCATGGGTGTGCCTAGCGAGAGTAGGAGTGTAGGAGGAAAGACTAGAATTCGGACCAAGGGAAGTTTTGCTGCAGTACTATTGTGAGTAAGTCCAAGAAAGGATGGGGCAGCATGCAGAGGGAATACTCAGGGTTGGAAAAAAGGTCTAGTCCTGGAATGTTGTGTTTCTGAGTCAAATGTTAAAGGTGCCTAGTTGGCCATGGGACTTTCTTCTCAATCGTCACCCTCTCCCATACCTGCCCCCATTAGATGGATATTACCAAGTATACAGTGACTAAGAGCTGGCATGACCACTAGAGAGTATAGTCCCTCCAACTACTTTTCAGGTAATTCTTTATATACCTTTCTTTCTCCCCCCTTCCACAAAAGGAAAATACAGGACAAAGGGTCAAAGAATGCATAGAGAAGTAAAAAATATAGAAAATAAAGAAAAGAAAAGAAAGATAGGAAAGAAGAAAAATTGTGGAAACAGACGTAAACAATAAACCAATGTGCCCCTAATAAAATATTGAATGAAGTTTTTCTTCTTCGAGAGATGGAAAGTGTAGGTAAAGGTAGGGAAGTGTGACATAGAGCAAAGGGACATACCCAAGAGAAAATGCTTGCTTTACCATTTTACTTAAAATTGCCTTGCTTGCTTTCTTCATAGCTGTGCCACTGCATATGTTCTACTGGCTGAGGAAGAAGCAACAACTATTGTAGATGCCGAAAGGTTATTTAAACAGGCACTCAAGGCAGGAGAAACAATTTATAGGCGGTCACAGCAGTGCCAGCACCAAAGTCCTCAGCATGAAGCTCAACTGAGTAAGCAAATTTGAACTGATTTTTACCTGTCCTTTAGCTTCTGCAGTTGGCTCTTTTATGTTTAAAACACAAAACAACAATAATAAAAATACTTTAATGCTTAGAAGTTCACTACTTTTCATAAGAGAGAACTAATATATTCATAATATCTACAAGCCAGCAAGACAGAAATATGTGTTAGCTAGAGAATGCTTGTGGAAGGGAACAGATCTGCTCTGGTTATTGAGAGATGTGCTGCTCTGAGAGTTAACAATAATTTATTTCATGTGAGAATTGGGCTGGTCTTTGGAGAAACACAACTCAAAAATATTCAAGATTCAGGAGAACCATTTAGTAATGATAAGCAGCTTTTACATTTATTCTCATCCTTAACCCAAGCAGTAGTAGAGGTACATCATTTGGTTTGCTCTTCAGATTGTATGTATCTCCGTATAGTGACATGAAGTGACCCCTTTAGCACAAAAATCAGCCTTATACTTGGCATTGATTCTTTCTTCGGTTGATTTTTTTCTGTGATGTGTTTGAGATCATATGAGCCATAGCAACTGAGGTCCTTTTTTTTCCATTCTTAGGAATACTTTCCCAGTTATGATTGAGACACTTTTACTAAAGATGTTAGAATCTGTAATGCTGCTGCTTCCTGCTATTTTTTTGTGGCCAGAGCATTTTAACTTCGTGATTTTGGCAGATAGTGGACAATAAATTGAAACATGTTTACATAATGTATTATCGGCTAGCAGTTAAGTTCTAAATCTTTTGTTTGTGGAAATTAAAATTTAGATAGTTTTCTCTCTAAACTAAATATTGATGTATACAGTATGTTTCATTAATGCGTGTTGTTATAACACAACTGTGGGAATATATAATTTTGCAGTCTGGAACTAATGAACTACATCTGTAAAAAAGTCATGCCATTTGTCCTTGTATAATCTCAACTATGGTTATGAGATAGTTACAGAAATAATTGTTAGCCCTTTCTCAAAGTAGTTTTATAGTTTGTTAGTTAGTAGCTGTTGACCAAAAGTTTACACGAGCCATGGAAATTTGGTTTTGAACATCTATTGTTTGTTGGTGAAAACAATACAGAATATTAAAATAATAGATTATATATGCAGAAACTTAATAGGTTAATGTTACTTTTTCTTATTAATGTATATTTCTTTTATGTTAATATTAAAATGCACTTGTCAAGTATACACAAATTACTTTGTATATACTGTACCCATTACTTACTGTTAGAGGCAAAAGTAATCCAATATATATATTTTAAGCTTTTAATATAAAAGACTTCAAAAGTATACAAAAATAGAGCAGTATAATGAACCCTTGTTCAATGTTAATCACCCAAATTCAACGATCATTAGTATTCTTCCATTCTCACACAATTTAATTTTAATTGAAACTTCCAGAATAAGCAAATAAAATTAATACATAATATGTTAATGAAATAGCAGGTCATAATACAAAAGGGAAATTTGTGTCATTTTTTGTTTTTTTAAATAGGGAGAGATACCAACGTACTGGTATATATTAAAAGAAGATTGGCAATGTGTGCAAGAAAATTAGGAAGAATAAGAGAGGCAGTAAAAATAATGAGAGATGTAAGTAAATTTGATGACTGGACCATTATATTTATTCCTCCGAAAACTGAAAATGTGGTTTAAGTTGCCAATTATGTTAATGCAGAATCACTGGTTTTTAATCGGTAGTTTTTATAACAAGATATTTATTTAATATACATACATTTCTCAAGAGTTGAGTCTCCACAGTTTTCGTTAAGAAACAAAAGAATTTCTAATGAATCTCATTCACCTCTGTTGAGTTCCTTTGCTATAATTTTAATCTTTTTTCCTTTTAATATACAGTTGATGAAAGAATTTCCTCCTCTTACCATGTTGAACATCCATGAAAATCTCCTAGAATCACTTTTAGAATTACAAGCCTATGCAGATGTTCAGGCAGTCCTAGCAAAATATGATGGTGAGTGATATATATCTCAGTTGAACGAATGTTTCAAGTATTTTTTTTTCAGCCATGTAATCATAAATTTGATCCTGTTCTAGTATTTCTGTGATTTTCCCTTTCCACTGTTACCAGTCAGTGTTTAGAATCTGTGAGTACAAGTTGCTTTTAAGTATCTTCTTGGGACGGCCCCGTGGCTTACCGGTTAAGTGCGCGC